CATTGGAGGGGCATTTATAGTATGGTTAAAGGGGAATAACACTAACTATCACATACCCATCAATGATATAAGGCATTTTGCACGTGTGATAGAGCCAACATGGAGACGGTCATATTACTGTGTAATAACCAGACCCGTATTACACCCCTTCAAGGATGATATGGTCAGTCAATGCATTTTGAATGGGCGATCGATATCCGCCCGAGTAGTAGGGAATTAGCGTTACGTCCCTTAGTGCGTCGTCTACTCGGCTAGATTTACCGCGACAATGTCTTCCAAACAAGGTGAACATGTTTGCATTCACTTGCAAATAGAATTATGGAGCTAGATGCTGTCTTGGACAAAAGTGAGGTCGGATTTAAAAGCGAAACGGACACGGAAGATTTTGAGAACAAAATGAAATACAAGAACACGGTACATAAAACCAACAGCGACATGAAACTATTCAGAAAATTATTTGGTCTGATCAGTCGGCGAGATGCGAGACCCGTAAGGGGTGGCACCCATCAATCTGGATAACAAGATTTCTTTTGAATGTTCGGGGGGCACGGGTGGCCCAGTCGTCTAAGGCGCCGCGATTCGCAGTGCAGAGTTGCGTCCCTTGGGCACGCCAGAAACCTATGATTGTGGGTTCGAATCCTGGTTCGCCCCGATTATGTTTCTAGGTTTGTCAGCACCATATCCGTGCTCGTGGGTTTCACCGAAGTGGTAAACGTCTGAGACCTGCTTCACTTGGGGCTTTCACATTAAGCTGACACGCCGCGATATAACTGGAATACTGCTAAAAGCGGCGTTAAACCCAACTCACTCACTCACTGACTTTTGACTGTTCGAAAAAAAGATAAATCTGAGTATCTGCTGGACATGTTAAAACCATTTCAGGCTAGAGCCGGGAGATACCTATCCGAAAATGGTTATACAACAAACAAACTGACCAAGCCTTTCAACACTCCAGAAACGTATGAATGCAAAGAACTCCAGGCAAGGGGAACAAACTGAATAAAGCGGAACCGTTGACAAGCGATGAGGTGGCTATTTTGTTTGAACACGCGGTCAACTTTGCTCAGGTAAGTAGTATGACTAATAGCAGCATTTGTGTATGACGTCATTTTATAACGTCATGTGTATGATAACTTCCGGTGTACCGCCATCTTGCCTAGTTAGTAACGAGGCGCCAGAGATCATAGAAAATGGCGGCAACCACGTGAGTGTTGTGGGATGAACATCCATGAACATTGCAGGTAAACCAGTTTCATTTCAAGTCGACACGGGAGCCACCTGCAACCTGATACCAACTTCTCTACTACCTCCTACTACAGAATTACAGCAGACATCCCAGTTGTTGAGAATGTACGACTAGACAGTCGTCACGCCTTTAGGCAAATGCCCTGTAAAAGTAGTCAACCCCAAGGATGGGAGAAAGTACAAGGTAGACTTTATTGATCTCAGTAACCCTAGTGCCACGCCAATATCAGGCAGTCACGCGTCTATGAGTATGAGTGAGTGAGTGAGTGAGTTGGGTTAAACGCCGCTTTTAACAGTATTCCAGTTATATCACGGCGTGTCAGCTTAATGTTGTAGGAAAGCCCCAAGTGATGCAGGTCTCAGACGTTTACCACTTCGGCGAAACCCACGAGCATGGGTATGGTGCTGACAAACCTAGAAACATAATCGGGGCGAACCGGGATTCGAACCCACAATCATAGGTTTCTGGCGTGCCCAAGGGACGCAACTCTGCACAGCGTATCGCGGCGCCTTAGACGACTGGGCCACCCGTGCCCCATATGAGTATGAAGTGGATCAGGAACAGATTACTATGTTTGATACAGTGATGACAACATCCATGCACTCAATTAATATCCCCCCAGAAACTTACATTGAATGGAATAAAAGAGGAAATCAAAGACGTGTTAACGCGAACAGGACAGTTTGAAGGAGCGTACAAGATCCAACTCAACACCTCGGTGGCATCAGTCGCTCACCCTCCGAGGAAAGTGCCGCTAGCTCTAAAGCCGAAGCTCAAGGCTGAACTAGAGCGTCTCGTGAATCTTAAAATACTCGCTCCTATAACAGAACCAACACCTTGGGTATCTAGTCTTGTCATCGTGGAGAAACCCAATAAACTTGAAATGCATCAATCCAAAAGACCTAAATGGGGCAATTCTCCGCAGTCACTAGCCATTACCAACTATCGAGGATATCTTTAACCAGACCTTGGCAAAGCTAAAGTGTTTAGCGTTGTGGACGCAAAGAATGGGTTTCGGCATGTGGCTATAGAAGACCGCAGTTCATACATCACAACGTTCAACAACCCGTTTGGACATTTTCTTTGGTTACGCATGCCTTTTGGTATATCCTCCGCTCCAGAGGAATTCCTCCGACGGCGAGATCAGGTCATCGAAGGGCTTAAGTGTGTACGAGGAGTTGCGGGTGATATTCTCATCTTTGGTGAAGGAGACTCCTTTGAAGAAGCATCTGTAGATCACGATGCAAACTTCAGAGCACTCATGGAATGCTGCAGAGCTCGCAACCTGCAGATCAACCCCAGCAAGATAACCTTCAAAGTACAGGAAGTTACCTTCATCGGACATCGCCTTTCATCCAATGGTCCAGAGCCTGGCCCAGGAAAGACCAAAGCTGTTCTCGATATGCTTAAACCAACAAGGTGTACCTCGCTTCGTTGGATTCGTGAACTATCTAAGCAAGTTCCTCCCACAACTAAGCACTGCCTGTGAATCGCTAAGGAAGCTGACTCTGAAGGATTTTGGGTGGCGTTCGGGACAGATTCATGATAAACGCCGTCGATGATATCAAGAGGCTTTTTAAGTTCTTCGACACAAAGAGTCAGGTCACAATTCAGTGTGATGCATCTATGTCAGGTTTGGGCACAGCTCCTCTCCAAGATGGTCAACCTGTGGCCTATGCCAGTAGGGCATTGACAGACGCCGAAACCATGTATGCCCAAATCGAGGGGGAATTGTTTGCAGTTGTATATGGGCTGGAAACGTTCCACCCATACACGTACGGAAGGCCAGTTGACGTTCAATCTGACGACAAGCCACTTGAGCCTATAGTATAGGAAGCCACTACACAGTGCACCCAAAAGTCTGCAGAGAATATTGCTAAGACTGCAGCGCTACGACATTCAGCTCGCCTGCAGTCCTCGAAAACGGATGCAGTTAGCCGGCACATTAAGCAGGGCACCACTGCCTGAAGTTGCGGATACAGGAATGGACCAGGTTACAAGATAGACTACGTCCTAATTGCTAAACCAAGAATGGAAGAGATACAGGAGAAAGTCAAGTCTGATGCAGACCTACAACAAGTGTATGACATCATTTGGAAGGGCTGGTCGGATCATTTGAAAGATGTTCCTTATGCCGCAAGACCATACTTCCACTGTCGTGATGAGTTGACTGTACAAGATGGCATCCCCTACCGATGTCAAAGAGTAGTGATTCCCCGAGCCCTGAGAAGAGACTTGTTAGTGCAACATCATTCTTCACACACTGGAGCAGAAGGATGTCTCCGGCGTGCAAGGGAATGTATTTACTGGCCTGGGATGAACGGGGAAGTCAAAGATTATGTCGCAAAATGTGACATCTGACGTGGAAGTGACAGGAAACAAGCTAAGGAACCCATTTTGTCACAATGTTAGCAGACCGTCCATGGTCCAAAGTTGGAGCAGACTTGTTCGTTCTAGATGGCAACAACTGTCTCATCACTATAGATTACTTCTCGAACTATTGGGAAATTGATTAACGTGCAGATACCGGGTAAACCACAGTAGCTAAAGGGACAGTAGGCACGACATGCTATACTGGACACTTGCATATCTGACAACGGTCCACAGTTTCAGCAGCGGAATTCAAGACATTTGCTCATGACTTGGGATTTAATCATGTAACATCGTCTCCAGCCTACCCTCAGAGCAACGGAAATGCAGAACAGGCAGTGAAAACTGCAAAACAATTTTGACCCTTACTTGGCCATACTGAACTTTTGTAACACATCGACACAGGGTCTCGACTCGAGTCCTGCTCAAAGGCTCATGAACAGGCGAACACGAACATTGCTACCTATCTCTGAAAATCTGCTGATTCCGGAGACTGTTTCAGGAACTACTGAATCGAAGCCATATGGAGAGCTATAGTCTTGAGACGCTAACACCGTATTCGTGCGTGCGTGATTCCCGTGCACCCTTTCGAGTTGAGTTGATTGGTTCAACTGTGTCATATGGCCCTGTGACGCAGGGGTAGCATAATGCAGATGGATGTTTCAATGAATGTTCGTTCCACCCGTGACGATGATGAAATATACTGATAGCTAAATAGACAAATTTTTTATTCATGCACCGATTGTCTTTAAATGTAATATCCGGTTATATATGACTGTTTAATAATCTCATACCAACATTGATTGGAGTAGGTCCAATAGTTTTTCAGATATTGTAGTAAACGTCTGTACCTTAAATTACCTTCCAGACTATAGCTAGCTAGTAAATAGGTACTGTCTTGCAACTCACTGTCGCAGTTGTAATAACATTCTATTCTGATTTTTGAAAAAAAGAAAGGTCCGGTCACGTGATATGCAAATTAGCCTGTGGCAGTGGTGTTATGCTAAGTCACCAACTGCGCCGGAGTGTGTGAAACTACCTGATTGATATTTGTCGTGCATGTTTCCTCGGTACCGCGTTAATCTGAATGAATTATGTAATAATTAAATTTGCTACGCGGATTCATACAGTTTCCACATCGGCGTTTTGATTCATACCTCAATGAACCGAAAAAAATACAGTCAATCCTTAAAACGTTTTTAGACATACATACATCAATGAACCGTCGTCATGACTGGAAGATTTCCGAGTGTGGCGTTAAACAACAAACAAATAGCATGAAAGAAACATCATAATTGCATTTTCGTTTATTTTGCGTAAATTTTTCAAGTTTTGTATAAACTTGTGAAGATCAAGCTTTTTCTGGCGGTCTTCTTAAAATGTACAACTTGAGAGTTACGTCCCTTAGATCCACAAACACATGTGGGAAGAACCTTGCCTGTTTACAACTCGAAACTGATGTTTATATCCGATGTGACCCGCCTGTAAGAAAATGGACAAGGTGGGTTGCTTGTTGACATTGTCAAATGTTTCATGTTACTTCAGCCATCTTGTGAACAGATCTGATTACTGAGAAAAAGTTGGCAAAATTGAACATTTTCAACATGAATCATATTGTTGATCATAACAGTTGATGTATCATTTCAAAGAACAGGTCGTTATGGAATAAATTTGTGTTATTCTTTATGAAGGTTTGGTACTACATGTATGATTTATCTTCCGATGAAACACTTAAGGACATTATGGTTGTTGACCAGATAATATGAAGGGCAAGTGAAGTCAACATAGCACCTTTGCAGTGATACTTTAGGGCATACATGCGTCAAGCAGAAGATTAAAAACGTCAGGCGTTTGTCCCCCAAACGACAAATTCCAACACTAAGGGGATTCCCTTTGTTGGGTTGAAATGGGGTCCCGGTGTTTGATGCGCTGCACAATTTCATCAAGTGGGCGGGACCCAATCTGCCAGTCTGCTTTTTGGGGGGTCTTCCTACTTGCCCAGTACCTATTGTTATACTTTTCGGGACAAATTCACCTGAGAGTTGTGATTGCTTAAAGACATTAGCAGATTAAGGGGGTCATCTCACATACGACACAACTAATTGGTGAATATGTCACAAAATATATTACACAACTTACTGGTGAACTATATTCACATACACTGCACTGAGTAATAACTTTTAATATATATATCAATGAGTGAGTACATATTAATCATTTAGTACCATTTGGGCAACAATGTATATGATGTTGTTATTTTTGTCATCTTCCCGAGGCAAGGGAGTTAACTGACTGTAAAAGTCCAGTTTCCTCCCTTGCCGAAATAGGCAGGAATTAAGGAGTTATATTTTAACTGAACTAACAAGCCAATGCATAGTCCCATCAAAATTGCATAACGAAATCGACATCCAGCTCGTAAACTGCCTTGCAGATTTCCATCGATTGCAGGATTTGCTAAGTATGTGTACCGCCAACTTGGTGTCAAGAGAAATTTTCCAAACCTTTTCATTTTTTTAAATCAAGATGCTCACATGATTTGATGCACTTTACGAAGTAGGACCCGTTTTATCACAATATAGATTTTGATTATCAGATTGTCTTGACTAGGAGCCGCCATTTTGTTTGAAGCAGATGCAAGTGACATGAGAGGTTGAATATGATTGGTCAGTAGTAGGGATATTGAAGGCACATAACTCATAATACCCACTAGTGGTGCTACAATCAAGCCCAGAAATTCCAGCCTAGTTCGGCAAGGGTAGAAACTTGACTTTTATAGTCAGTTAGCCCCCTTGACTTGGGAAGATGTTTTTGTAAGATTAAGAGAAATAGCAGAAACAGTATATGTATAGCTGCTAAGAATCACACATCAGCCAATGAAAACCTTTTGTCATGCACAGTTGCACTGGTACTTTTAGGCCACACACACCCCCCCCCCCCCCCCAATATGTTTGTTTTCATTTTCAAAGCCGATTATTTAGCAATTTTATCTTGGAAATTGACTTAATATATATATAGGACAATTGATATTCGCAAAAATATCTCAAGATTCTTTATACTTTACTTGCCCTTTGAGAAAATATGTCTCTTGCTAACCATGCTGACCCATGCCTGTGTCCACATAGTGGTTGTTTTTCATATTACTGCATGTGTAGATAACTGAAGCACATTTTAAAGCACGACTAAGGAGGGTGCAATGACCCTGAGTGAGCATTTGACAGACAAAAAACCTTTTTCATTATTTAATTATGTATTATCTCACCTCATATTGAAAGCATGTTATGATAGTTCTGCATTAAAGAGGTTGCATACAAAAAAAAATAATCAAGAAATGGGTATATTTGGTACCATTTTGTAGGAAAATATGTCCTGAATCAAATTACGCAATAAAAAACCAAGTCACCACGTCATTTTTTTAATAAGTGCGCCATCTAGAGGCACTGGATGATAAAATCATTTTGCCAATAAAATGGTCATTTTAAGGTTTGATTATTAAATGAGTGTTTTTAAATAGACATATTACAGTATTGATATGACACAGAACAGAAAAATGAAAATTCAAGTCAAAACATTTTTAATTTCACACATCATTTGACTTTAAAAAAGCACATTTTCCCAAAAAATTGATTCATCAGTCAAAAAAGCATTTTACAAAATCAAGATATTTTTCAAACTGGCTAATTTCTAATGTTTATTCATTGTAAAATAAAATTATAAAATAAAAACAACATGTTACCAGAGGATATTCAAATTATTTTCAATCAACACAGCATACCCCTAAAATAATGAATCAGAGGAGGTAACTCTTGCCCAAATTTACATTTCTATGAGTTCATTTTGGCGGAAGTACAATTAGCTGTGAGTCAAAGGGACATAACCGCATTACAAATACTCGCCGTTACATGCGCGTCCGGTATGCGCATGAACAATGGTATCCAACGTCTTAAATGCATCATCAGGATTTTAATCTGTTAGTTTGAATAACATGCACATGTGTTTGTTTGATCAGTCTTGAAATGGTGTTTTTATACCAAGGAAATGTATTTTGGTTTTTTTAGGAAGATGGTGCTGGGGACATGACAGACAGTCATGGTGCCACCGTCAGTTGCCAGCCAAAGAACTACTTTGCCAGCTATGAGGATCTCTCAGTTCATGAGCTAATGCTGAAGGATTTCCCACGTACGCAGGCATACAAGAAGTTCTTTGAGGAGAATGCTGCCCACTTCAAGGATAAGGTAGTGTTGGATGTCGGAGCAGGTACTGGGGTCCTGAGTCTGTTTGCTGCGTCTGTTGGGGCTAAGAAAGTGTATGCAGTTGAAGCCAGCAAGATGTCGGAGATCTGTAAGGAGATTGTGAAGTGTAACGGCTTTGAAGATAAAGTGGAGGTGTTCAACTGCCCTGTTGAGGAGCTAGCATTACCAGAGAATACAAAAGTGGATGTTCTGGTATCTGAATGGATGGGCTTCTATTTGTTGCATGAAGCAATGCTTGATTCTGTTATTTATGCCAGAGATAAGTTTCTTGCCTCAAATGGCACAATGGCCCCATCGAAAGCAACTCTGTATGTGGCACCAACGGATATAGACTCCTATCATTCCAGTCATGTTGAGTACTGGAATAACGTGTATGGGTTTGACTTCTCCTCTGTGATTCCATTAGTGACTCAAAAGTTTCAAAAGGAACCTGTGATTACAGAAGTGCAGTCCACAGAACTGCTTGCATCAGCACAGAAAGTTGTTGAACTAGATTTAAAAACTGTTACGCTTGCTGACGTGCAAAAGATTAGCCAAAAACTTGACATAAAGATGGACAAATCTGGGATATTGCGTGGATTTGCATCTTGGTTTGATGTTGAGTTCTCTCCCCTTGACAGTTCCGTGGCATGTGGTGTGCTGAGTACGTCGCCCGATTCTCCACAGACACACTGGAAACAGACAGTGTTCATGCTGCCAGAGGAGATCCCCATAGATACAGGGGATGAGATCAGCACCCTTGTGGAACTCTCACAGGACGAAGGTAACAAACGCCACTACAACATATCGATCGAGCTCCTGGACGTGGAAGATGATTACAGCGATGAGAACGACCACCCTGTGCCGTGTGACTGTGGGGCGACCCGTTGTCTCCTCATCAAGAAGCTGATGGATACCTACGATGAAGAGCATCGGGAACTGGAGGCGGAGGCAGACAGTGTTAATGTTGAGGCAGAGACTGAAGCAGTTAGAGTGATGAACACCGAAATGAGCTTGGAGAGTAGTGACCTTGAAATCATCGATCAGTAGATGGGATTTCTAAGTCAAGATTGCCAAAAGGTTCTTTATCTGCAAAACATTGGCAACAAAGTTTGATCACATTCTTTTAGGGAGTGGCCTGACTCCTATTGTTGCTGATTGCCAAAACGATATTTTAGAAATGAAATACAAATGATGTTTCTCATTAATATTTCATGTATATAATCACAAAGTAACATATGTAGGATATAACCTAGTCAAAATATCAAAGTATGTTATGTTCTGTTATATTGATTTCTGTTATGGGGCAAAACATTAGAAGATAAATATCCCAAAATGTTGAAATTGTGTTTTTTATTTGAAACAATTAATAATTATATGTGGTTCAGCCATGAGCAACATTAGTATGCTGCATTAAGTAACTGGTAGTGATTTGATCTGATTTTATACCAGCAAACACATTTAAGAATCCATTTGTTATATTGTTGGAATTTGATGTTTTAAGAAAATGAACATTATCAAAGATAAAGTTGATTAAACGGATGCTGTTTTGATTTTGTGTTATGCATTACTGTTTTCACAAGAGAAGTGCGAGATGACTGGACATACTGTGACATTCTTTACTTCAGTTCTGTTATCAGATTTTGGTGCTACAGAAGGGTCAAAATTTAATTTTCAAATAAATGATTATGTTACTGTTCCTACATGTGACCAGTGACCTACGCTTGTTGAAGGAGATGACACGATCACAACCCACAATCAGAAATCTGCTGGACGCAGCACAGTTAAAGATTGATAACATGCTTCTTTTAGAAATGTTTGCACACTTTGATATGGATCCTGTTTTAAATCCCTCTCTAAGTATGTTTTCTGTGTAACAACAAATTAAACTGGATAGAAACTTACCATAAACTCCCAACTTTTGATTTTTGACAAATCAATTGTGTGGCAATAACTTGGTCATGCTCTGCAACACTTAAACTTCTCCTCACAGAACGTTACTGGCTTTACAGTGACTACATGATTCAAGTTGGTTTACTGAGCTATGGAATAGGCTGCCATTGAATATCAGGAACATTGACAGTCCTACTTTGTTTCGATCAAGATTCAAAACCTATCTTTTCACCAAATCTTTCTTGGAGTATTGAGGCTGTGTGTTTTCCTAGCTGTGTAATGTCTCTTTTTTGTGTAGACTCAAATGAAGCGCTTTTGAGTAGTTCTTCGAACTGGATACCAGCGCTATATAAATCTGTAGTTATTATTATTATTATTATTATTGCTGCACAGGAAGCCACATGACAGACTCCTGCAAGGTACAGACTTCAATGTCCAAACATCATTGTATATAAACCTGGTCCGTGTCTTTAAGACTGATAATATAACATCAACATATGGTCTATAGCTATGTGTATATATATGTACAGACTTCAATGTCCGAACATCATTGTATATAAACCTGGTTCGTGTCTTTAAGACTGATAATATAACATCAACATATAGTCTATAGCTATGTATATATATGGTACATGCTTTCACAGTCAGTAGTGTTATATGAACATCGTGTATGATCATGTATGTTGTCAAGATATTTCAGTTGACAAATCGACGTGATATGTTGTATGTGGGCTTCACTAGGTATTTCAACATGTCGCAAGCCTTTAGATTTTGTGCGCTTTGATGTATATTTCACCATGCATGTAAGCAACTCACTTTACCGATTTATGAAAAATTCTGTAAATGAGGCTGTGCAAGCTTAATAATTTTTCTGTTTGTCTTTTACTTTGATGCAAAAACATAGTATCAAATCTTACTGTATATGGTATTATTATGATATTTTTTACGCAACTCGAATTTTACAACCAAATTGTATTATGTTGGCATAATACCTGTGTATGATTATTATCATTATTCTTGCCGATTCCTCTTTGATTGTGCCAACACACATGATCTGCAGGCATGGCAGTGTTTATTGGTTTCGAACAGAGTGAGCCGAAAACTGCTCTGCTGTAACTTAGGGCTACCATTGTTTTTGAATTCCCTTGTGTTGAAAAAAAAGGGTCTGTGCTGCCTTGGCTTCTTGTTCAAAATGGCCCACCAGTTTAGACAGTGACCCACCATTTAAGAAAGTGTCACTGTTATGTATTTTTGTTAGATTCTGTTGATTCTACTTCCGGGTTTACAGATTCGAGTGATTTCTGCGACTCTAGCCGTGTTATGGTTGACAGAATTTCCCTATAATTTTGCATAATGACCTATAGTTGCATCTGATACTTGTTAATCGTTCTGAAATGTCTGTGAATTCCTAGCTCAGAATCAACTGCAACAATAGCTTGACATCATCGTGATTGTTTAAACGATGGAGGTTTACTTAATGGCGTCCGGGATTATCCAGTGTTTAGGTCTCCATTGTATTACGGCAAATACCCCGAACTCATCCCCCACCATTTCTTCTTTTTGAGACAAACTCAAATGATATAAGAGGGAAATACATGGCCACGAATCTGCTAGTCCTATACAGAGGGACAGTTTTTTCTTTTTTTATATAAACGACTTACTGGTCGGGTGGTCGGGTGGTCGGGTGGTCAGGCTCGCTGACTAAGTTGATGCATGTCATCGTATCCCAGTTGCCTAGATTGATGCGCATAATGTCAATCACTGGATTGTCCGGTCCAGACTATTATTTACAGACCGAGGTTACAGCTGGAATACTGCTGAGTGCGGCGTTAACAACGAACAGAACCTGAATAACGCTTTCTCAAGTTGGTGTAATCTGAATTGCCCTTTGATTTCAGTTCAGAAAATCATTGGATAAACATTGTGCTGCTAGACATTGAATTATGGGAAAGTCTGTAGGCATTTCACGGTTTCTTAGTATCTTGGTCATTGTGCACATCCCTTATCAACTCCGGTTGTTCCATGGAGGGGGTGGTGTGGTAGGGGAGTGATTAGGTATTAGCTCAGGTAGGGTTTCCAGCATGGACAGAACGTGTGAAGCTCACTGTGATATACTGCTCTGACAGTGGTTTTTGACCAGGAACACATTTGGAAACACTGGTCCGTTAAGACATGTTTCCAAGGTGTTTGCTTAATATTGAAATCATGTTTTGCTGGAATATTTGAATGGTTAGAACTTAACACTAGCCTGCTAGCCCGGGTGTGGTACAAATTCCTGCAGGCTCGTACACATTTCTCCATTGTTTTTATAAGGGCTATTAGCTTTTGAGTTAAGTTCTTATCCTGATTTGCCAGAATGGGTAAAATGTAACCCCTTACATACCAATAAGTTACTATTGGTTTCACCTTTGTCCTCCCCTATTCTGAGTAAAGATTTTAAGAAGTCAACGTGACTAGTTGGCAGCCAACATCTGTCAAAAAGGTTTATGGTGAGGTGAGGTGAATGGGGTTTAACGTCGCATCCAAGATTATTGCACTTATTATAGCGACGTGCATGTACGTGTGTGTGTTGTGTGACTGCTGGTACTAGTCCGGACTGATGCCGATTTAGTGCTAGCCCACTGAGATACCATGCCGCAGTTTAACATGAATACCCCACTCAGACACAGTATACTGACTCCGAGTCAACCAGTCCTTGTTTTAGCCCCTTAATGCCGAGCGCAAGACAGGGTAGCAACAAGTACCATCTTTTAACGTCTTTTGGTATGACGCGGCCGGGGATCAAACCCCGGACCTTCCGCTCTCCGGGCGGACGCTCTACCATTAGACCACGGAGGCAGTCGAAATGTTTATGGAAGGCAGAATTGTTCAACTGCACAAGAATATAATGTTTTCTCAGTAACCTTTAATTCCATGTCTATGTTACGTTCCATGCAAACCAGTGCTTTATTACAGGAGTGAGGACCCATGATGGCATTCCAGTCTGTGTCATTTGTGTCTTCTTGACCCAAGGTCTTTTTATTTGGAGATAAACATTTGTTTTCAGATTGCTTTTTTTTAAAAGTATTTCATTAAAAACTCATTTAAATCCACAAGCTGAAAACACATTCATCAACATTGTAAAGCAAAAAAAGTAGTCATTTTTTGAAGCGCTTTATCACATACGTGAACTCTCAGATAAGATGTCACATGCTTACACAATAACTGAATCCGCCTGGTTCACAGAATGTGGAAAAAATCCCAACTAAATCGAGCTGTTCTGATAAATATTAATCACACGTATTTCATTAATATGTCCATTTTGCCAACCGACTGGCACAATTCTATAATTTGGGATTGAGGTAAAAGATACTATCAAGAAAAGTATCTATGTGCAGTGAATAGTGCAGATTTCCGAGTTTCGAATCCCATTTAATCACGTTCATCTATTTAGATTGCAACAAAGCACTCCCTTCTTTTTACAACAGATCAGTCTTACTTTCTGATCTATTATTAACTAAGCTTACAAGATTGGCACACTCTGGCACTGGAGCAGTGGCTTCAGTCTTAAACTGGGATTCCTAGGCAGATTAGATCACTGACAAAACAAACGCAAATACCATACATGTTGGTTAATATATGAAGACTTACGCATGTTCATGAGATTTTAGATGGGTTCGATGCACAAACGAACATACTGGTATGTTGTGTAAACCGATGCTCATGAACGTATCACATGTGATGTCACAGATCCATGACTCGTGTGCACCATTTGCCTCGTGCAGGATTAGTGTGAAAGTTTGGAAACCACGTGCAGCTTATCGTGATATGACTGGTTGTAAGTTTTGTCACCAATTGGTGCACACTGGAAACATCTCTTCTCAACGTAGATACTTCTGTTCACGCTTCTTTTAGTGGTGAGTATACATCCACACACTCACTGCAAAGTATGACAGGCCCCAGAGAAGGCGACCAACACTTCATGGCAGGCCCATATGAGCTATTCTTGGAATGTTAGCATATCAGCTATTCTTGGAATGCTATCATATGAGCTATTCTTGGAATGTTATCATATGAGCTTTTCTTGGAATGAGTGCACATGAGCTAATTGTAGACAGTCAAGGGCCCATTATACAAAACAACCTAAGCTAATGTTAACCTTAACCACTAAGAATTATGGTTACTTCAGTCTGACGTTACACCCATTTCACAAAGCAATCATGGCTCGAGTTAATTCTGGGTGTCAACCTTAGGACTACGGTTGCAATCATAAGGCTTTAAGACATCGGGAGCTGAAACCATTACTCGGTGTTGTGTTAAAAACACAATAGTTTGGAATTTGTTTGCCTTTTTCTTGCACAGAAATATTAAATAGGCAAAATATTTTAACAATATAAGAGCAATAGTTGAAAAAGGATCTCAAATAATGTAGTACGAAACTCAGTGTGTGCTTGAAGGCCGGTAGGCCGAAATATGGAGACTTTATATTTATGTATTTGAATTCCCATATGGGAATGAACACAAAGGAAGGTTTACTTCTAACACAGTTTTTAGCTGCCGTTTTTTAGACAGATTTACATAATCGTCAAATGTAATTTCTAAACATGAACGGTTACGAAATTATTGCCATCTTCCATCCAATTGTAACTTCCTTTTCTTGACAGCATGTTTACATGTTTAAAATCCATGTGTATTTAACTAATCCCAGGTAAAATGATATAACAATTCTTGTTTGTTTGTTACTTAACGCCACACTCAGCAATATACCAGCTATATGACGTCTGTAAATAATCAAGTCTGGACCAGGCAAACCAGTGATTGACATCATGAACATCGATCCACGCAATTGAGATACGATGACATGCATTAACCAAGTCAGCTATCCTGACCACCCGATCCCATTAGTCGCCTCTTGCCACAAGCACAGTCTCCTTTTACAGCAAGCATGCATTGCTGAAGACCTATTCTAACCCAGGTGTCTGGATATACAGTGAAATGACTAATTTCATTAAACAAATGAAGTTGTGTATATATATACTACTCAAAAGAAGTTAAGGATCGCCTGATTCTTTCATATTACAATAGTTACTCTCTCATGCCATGACAGATTAACATTACCAATATGAAAGAATCGGGTGATCCTTAACTTCTTTTGAGTAGTATATATAAGAGCACTGCTTTTGTATGGGGAAGGTTATTCCATAGAAGACAAACGCTTGGTATATACTGTAAACATGTTTAATTTCCATACAAGGCATTCATTGTGACAGTTCTGTTTATCCCGCCCTGTTGTCCTCTACCATCTTGGAAAGGAAGGAAGGGATGGAGGTGGTGGAGCACCTTCTCCTCACACAACACACAGCTGTCTATACAGTACACATTATACACTTACACCACTGGCCAGTTTAACATACTCCTCAGTCAGGGGGAAATACTGGACCTCTCAGTCATCACATACCACTTTTGTGAATGCAGGAATCAGCCCAGAAAATGTTTCCATCTGTTAGCACTACATTCCGACAAAGAAAAGATAATGAGCTTGGCCCTTACAAATCCCCTGACCTAGGCCACTGTTCATGGACACTAATATTATTGCACAGAGAAATCCTGAAGACATGGATTCCATGCCCCAACAACTCAGGTCAGAGTTTGTTAAAACAAACAATTTCATGACAGCTGTCAGCAATAGAAATATAACAAATAATAGACACTTCAGCAATTGATCGTAAGCTAGAATTCAGAAGATACTGCATGTGGAACATATTTTTCAATGTACAAAGATCTCCTGTTTTACTTGAAATTACGAGCCTTATTACAAATGAACTTTCACATTCATAAATGTTCATCATCTACAACTAACGTTAACCCGAGCAGTACTGATACCTCCAGTCAGCGTAATTTCATCTTAAGTTAATTCTGGAAATCACAAAATAAATCAAAATATATTTCTAAAACATTCCTCCTGACCAACAGTGTAATACTGGAATAACACTTAAGACAGTTTGGTATCAGTATGCCTAAATTTGTCATTACATGAGTAGACAATCCTTGAATAACTGACATAGATGGCACAGCAAGAAGCTTATAAGATGCAGTATCTTTGTGTTTAACAAAGACGAGGTAAACAGTAACTAGAAGTTGATACAGAAGATACAGGTGACTTACTAAGCAAGATGCACACCCCTGTCACCAACAGTACGCAGCTCTAACAAGACACCATGTCAGAATTTTCCAGAATTCAGCATCCACAAAATGGTTACCTTGTAGTTGATTAATATAACCATGGCAACACCAACATACACGTAAAGTCATAGGACACTGAAAATGTACTTAATGAATTGAAAAGAAAATTGCTGGTTGATAGTAAGAATACGGGAACAATTCTACTGTTAGTTTAAGTTTCTATAGCACCTTGTTCTTACCATACAAATTTCACAACAATCAAATTTCTTCAACAATGCTAAGCACAAAATTCACCGATGAGAGGAACACTCCATTGCAAACATGTCATGAGGGAACAGGCCTGACGATGGTTCTTACTGCGTCAGTGATGTACACGACAACAGCTCGCAGCTACCACAAAACTAGACCAACATGTATCATCGGGATGTGGAATCTTGCTTCAAAGTGGGTGAAAAGTTGGCTGTTTGGTAATATTTTCAAAAATGGTTTCCGCTTTCTTCAAGAGTAATGTTAAATATTTTACTGATGGTGATGGTAGAATGATGACAATGAATGTCAAGAATAAACTACTTCTAGAAGATTAACACATAACAACAATTGGCAGTCTCTGTGTTTCAGAGTATTTGCTTGATAACAGATCCAGAATTTGAATTCAAGTTTGTTGAGATAGGGAGTATAGACATTCTACAAGAAGCAGGAGATCTGTAAAACCCTGTTAGATACACACTGTACAAACTAAAACATTGGGCAGTAAGAACCTGAATTCTATACACACTTTTACATATCTACAAATATACAACGGTCATTCGAGATCCTACATTTGGTCAATGAAACATGTCTTGATATATCTTCCTTATTTAGATTTAAATATATTTATCTGTGTAAACATGAACAGCTTCATAAACAATCAATTGCAAATGTTCTTAACTGAATACTAACTTGACCTAAGTCTTATACATCTAGGGAGGTTATATTTTATTCAAAGAGGCAGAATAGACATTTTCTGTAATTTCTGTGCAAACAAGATATTTGTTTTTATTAATCTTGTATCATGGAAATGGTTTGGAAATATGTTTGTATCAATGGGTTTGAAATATTACATGTGCAGTTGAATGATTATGTGATGATATAATGTTAGTGTAATAAATATATGAATGATAACATGAGGAACCAACCAGACGGGGCGTGTTGCATCAGATCCAACATACCCCAGTCACATAAATAGCTCATAGGAAAATACTCAATAGTGTATTTTGTCAACAGAGACATCCAACCTGCAGTTTTTGACAAGTATAACAGCTCAATATACATCATGCTTACAACTTGACTATTTACGTCTAAATGTTAAGACCCTCTCTCATTCCCAGGGTTTCCATAGCTGATATTACTATAACTATTACAGTAATGTTTGAACATTCAAACATTGGTCAAAAGTTGGAATTCCAACTATTTATAAATAAAACCCCAATTTCTGAGAATATTTGATTGGATGAATTTCTCTCACCTATAGAAACCCAAGTTACTTACAATATCATGAATACAGTGAGGCCAAGTTAGTGTATTTGTCCCTGATAATGGCAATGTCGATGAACATGCAACTCTCCACAAGGTACAGGGCTAGAAATTATGGTCGGCGCAAACAGAAATGTCCTCTAACCAGTTCTTTGTCTACAGCATTTCCATTTGCGTGGCATCAATCACTACCCAAAAATCATATTATTGCATTTGGGATGTTTGGTTCAAATGAAATTAACTGAATGAACAAAACGCCAGTAGCAGTCACTTTCTATATCTGTTTTGCAGCAAAAGTTGTTTTTGGTATTTCTTTCTTTTCCTTTTTACTTCTTGTCACCCCTAATTTCAAGCCCTGTGATCTGAACAGGAATATTTCAAACAACACAGCGCAGTACAAGCAAAGCATATGAACATGTTTGAAAATTACCAAAGTTGTCACCACTGACTAGATACATGGAAGCCCAATTCAGCACAGCTTCAGGTAACTGTGACAAAACTAATTCCCAGTGGTAATAAGGTTATCTAGAGTGACTATTGTAGGAAAGGTTTTCGTGAATATCTTAGCAAAGGTTTTGTTCATTTCTGACATTGATAAGGGCTTATCAAGAATAAAATGACATCTTGTATACAGACATATACAATAAAGAAGTTATCTCCCCTACATACACATGCAATAAAGAAGTTATCTCCCCTGCCACATCTAAGAAGGTAGGTATCCCATAGCAGCCACTGCATTTCTGGTAGTGCAGCCAAACAGATGCACACTCCCTGGATGGTAGAATGGAGCAGCATGTTCACCACAGCAGCAGTACACAAGAAACAAGATGGCCCCTATGTATGGGCACGTACTCGGATGCAGGGTAGGGGTTCATAATTGTGTGACAAACTCCTCACTTGCATTAACTAGTCATAGACACAAACCTATCTAGGGACATGGGGGCCAGTTTGAGGGTATTGTGTTTGAGGGTATTGTGTTTGGGGCATGGCAGCTTGTAGCTCCAAATAGGATATGCATTGTGGGTTGTACTGGGGACTAGAGTTCTATATTACGATCGGGCATGGTACTCTCCTTGGTGGTCAGGCAGGCCATGCAGAGATATACCTCATTGGGACACACATGATGGACTTTGTACTTTTGTCAATGGACTTTGACATAATTCCGATCCATATTACTCATAATTCATAATTTTAGTATGCTCAGGCAACATTCTGCACAGTGCATATTGTATGATTTTAATACTTAACAGAACAATACTGAAAACCAACTAATGGATAGATGTGACATTTTGATTTGGGCCGAATGTTGTACAAATCCATCCAACTTCATGCCATCTAAACCCGAGGTTCACATTCTGTGGATTGAAACCTTGATTTGCATAGATAAAACATTCACAGGAAGTGAACTAACTGGCCTGTTCAGGTCGAAGGTCTTTGCTTGTACTGCCATCGCTGTGGACAAGAAAACACATTGCACTATCTCACCCCATTCAGTGAGTCTATCATGGAGAATTCAGCAGGATGCACTACACACATCAGTTGTAACAGTGATCACACACTCCCATCATGCACCAGCAATACAAGTCACGTGGCTGGTATAGGTTACCATGGTGACACAGATAACAGTTTGACTCTTATGTCAAATCATGTGACGAAAATGATTTGTGGCTTGTGTCTAACATACTTTCAAATCTTGCACCATAAAGCTAGCTGGTTGAGACCTCAGATTTAGCAACTCTGGTCATGTTCTGGGCTTGGTGTAAAATGTACATGAATTTCAATAGATGAAACTGCCGAGAATGCTGGGATGCATACTGTGGTCAAACCACTGAAGGTTTAGCGTGCAAGGATGTGTGTCTAGCTTCACACAGTGTTTACTCCTAGTTAATGCAGCCATGCCACCCAACATTAGAGAACCGAGTCTAGTTTGCGCTGCAAGTGTCGAGCAGCGAGCTTTCACATCACCTGCTCAAACTATGGCTTCTTTCTCGGTCGCCGTTACTTTGCGAGTTATCAGGCTCTTTCAACAATTCCTCTTCGTAATATTTGCGGAAGAACGCATGTCGCAGAGACTGTTTGAGATTCACTCGGTTGCTGGGATCGTACTCCAGCATTTTGCCAATGACGTCAAACAGCTGTCTGTGCTCTTCATTATCAGGGTCCTTAATGTAGCGCTGGAATAATGTTTAGTAGTCATTAGTGATGGCCACATGTCATAACGGAGTACATGCACATGCAATATCATTGCTTTCTTTACATCCGAACAATGCAGAGAAATTCTGTGGGAAGGAACTCACAAACATGAACTGAACTGTAACTGCCAATGTTAAAAGTTTAAATGCCACAGACATATATACACATTGCCATAACTTAGTGCAAATTTTGAATCAACCATTCCAGAGTGGTTACAGAACTGAACCAAAACACAACAGAATTTCTCAACATGAAACATTAGGTGGTAGACATGGAGACAGCTAGCACACAATGTCAATACATGACTCTCTGACGACGACGAAGCACTGATACACAGGAGGTGTGCAAGCAACTGACGTACCAGCTGCAGTACTAATGATAGGAACAAAATAGGACTTGGAAGAAAATCTGAAAATAAAGAGCTAGATTAAGAAGTGAAAAGAACGTCTAGATTGACAGCACTGGCTACACAACACACTGAAGGACAAGCAGCCACATAGCAAATTCACAAGCAACACAGGGGTCACAAAGCATGGGATACTGGTAGGTCAAGGGTTGCTTAGTCAAGGTCACACACCAAAATGGTCAACAATACTGCCAACACTAAATGCCTTCATGTATTGATCACAGATCAATTAACCGTTGGACCTTTAGCCCGTGGCCAGCAGAAACAGCAGAGGGCCTACTTCATTTCAAAATCGCTGGCCCAGTTAATCATCTATACTCATGCACAGAATGACCACATGAAGAATTATACGTACTGATATGGATGAGTTTTGTTCAACACAAGCTGGCCAAGCTGACCAATGGATTGTTTCTTCTCAAATCTAACAATGTTGTCAGCAGCTGAATATTTCCAGCGATTCAACAACTGTCTGCAAGTAACATACTCGGAAACATGCGAAGAGTATGTAAGTAGACGAAGATGTCTGCCTATATCTTTTAATAAGTACCTATCCTTCACAATACCTACACTGTCACAATATCTCCTTAAATGTACATGACCTTATTGCACCAAGTCAATAAATCATTTTTTGTTTCATAAATATACACAACTTAAACACAGCAAGTCCGCAACACAATATTTTGGCTAATACAATCCACACAACTTATTACAAGTGATATACAAATAATAAACAAATGATAAAGTGTAGAATATCAACAAAAAGTGACTAAAGCACATTTAATCACTGGAATTGGAGTCAACTGTACAAGCACAGCTTCACTGAGATATATACGTTATTCATATCACAATACAAAGCAAGTGGGACTCTAGTCCTCAAGATGGTTGCGACACCATCCTTACCCAACTGTGGGATCTGTCAAGAGGGAACTAGTACCCAATGATCAACATAATTAGCTTCAACAGTGAACCGATCAATGGCCCAATAACTTGGTTAAGTTCAACAGTGAGGATGATCAAGTTAACCAAAGTGAATTACATATGAAATTTGACAAGGCACATTTGTAAATTTCTGGGTGTGGTACCCTGTGAGCAACTATCACACAACCTTTATATAATCCTAACAAGTCATATTTTCAATGGACCTTTCTATCACTTGCTGTTTCTACTCAGTTTGCCAGTGCTTGTGGTCAAAAATGGACATGGACTGCTCCACGTCAATCACCTTGGATCACAGAAATCATCATTCAAATTGAGACAAGACTCATCAATATCAGTGTTTATTTCTGGATGGGATCTGGCTAATTTGAGCCAAGGATCGTTTTCAGCTTTCCTACGTTCTTCCTCTGCTTCAGAGTCCTCCTCCACCTCCCCTTCCTCCTCCTCCTCAAATGTTTCTGGAGTTGGAGGCTGAGGATCGGAAGCAGGTGGCAAATAACGATCAGATTCTGGCGTCTCATTTGAAGTCATTGTTGCCATCTTGTGATAAGGATCCGTGAGAAAACTCAGCAACAGATCTGGGGCAGGATCTGGTGTACTTGCATTGGACGGGTTTCGGTCCGGCGCAAGAGAACTGACTGCGCCCAACCCATCAGTTGAATCAGATACTCCAAACTGAGAGGCCTCACTGTCGGGCATTTGACTATCAGTACCAAATGAGTCCGCGGTCGATGTGTGACCGTCAGACAAGGCAGTCTGCGAACTAGGCTCTTGATCGGAAGGACTTGACAGTGAGAAAGAAACTTCAATATCTGGCATGATCACTTCTGGATGAGTGATTGCAGTTGGCTGTTCAGCCAATTGCTCCTCGGTGTGAGGGGAATGAAAGCCCGAGTCTTTGACTAATGGCAGAGTAAAACTGGTAGCCTTGTCGTTCATAGCATCGTCAGTGTCGGAGAACGGTGAGTGGGAGCTGCTGGGGGCATTTTTTTTCATGCAAGAAGGGGTAGCAGCTAACAGGCTGTTAGTGTCACTACCATCACAAGATTCGTAGGGTGGGCACTCGGAGGACGGGAGGGAGGGTGGGGTGTCCTCGCGATAGTAGGGCTTGAAGTAGGGGTGTTTAAGCGCTTCCTTCAGTGTGGTGCGCTGTTCGGGCATATAGTCCAACATCTTTTCGATGAGATCAAAAAGTTGGATGTCGTCTACGCCTTTATCTCGCAGGCCGTGCTGAAAGGAAATACAACATCAATAACAAGGAGTTTGTCTACTGGGTGGAGCAAAACACCAACACATCCCTGCAATACCTCAAACTGTTGGAGCATTAACTCACACTTTGGCAAGGTTCTTAGGCCAAATCTTATCCAAGACAAAATTTCAAGAATAGTTTTAAGTGCACATCTATTCTAAGCAGTTATTACAGTTTGTACTGCAGGGAACGCCAGTCTACATTCTGCATAATTTACTACTTGTGCTGAAAAGATCTTTTCATATATGCCCCAACATCATTAAAAGACTACTTAATGATAAATGTATAGGCCCTAATAACTGAAGTCCAAAGAGAATCTACTTGAAGAGGGCTTCAGGTTTTTTAAACTTAAATTCATTACACAATTGATGGCAAAGTAAAATAAACATGTATGCTAACTAATCTTTAAGTCTTGTAAAAATTGAAATTATATTTTCTAAAAATGTTTTGAACTTCAACCGACACTAAATCTAGTGGACTAGATAACACCACAACAGCAGCAGAATAAAGACTGGCAGTCTACTACTAACTCAGGAGCAAGGGGTAGAGTGTTCCGAATGCTGGTGGGACTTGTAATATTGGGTATTGTATTACACATGTACTTGAGATGAATGACTGAATAATCAAGTAAAAGTGAAGGTTATGCATACCAGCTTAAAGCTACATAAACCAAGTACTGCGCCGAGGATGAGATACTCGGACACATTAGTAACATGAATGATCCATGCAGTAATACGAAACGTCAACTGACAACAGCAATGACCAGACTGACATGATCAAATCGTAATAAAACATATCTGTGCATGCAAAATCAGCCCTTCCTTGACACATGAAACTTGTCTTTCCATGAAAGGTGTAAATCATCCTGAAAAGCTTAAATGGATGCTATTCCCTCAAGAACTTATTTTCAAGTCAGAAATGTCTTTAATATAAAACCTAATGTTTGGGACAACTCAGCAGCATAATACTGAGTTATGGAACATGAAGGTATCAAGCAAATCCATTTGGGAGCAGTCTTCATCAGGGGAATATACAGGTGGATAGGTTGACAGGGGTGTACTGACAGGGGTGTACTGACAGGGGTGTACTGACAGGGATGTACTGACAGGGATGTATTGGTGTGTTCATGCCAGGATGGACGTAGTGGTGTAAGCATATCACACATCGGCTGCAAGTAACAACATGCAGCGGTCTTCAGGCTGCCGCCAACATCAACACTGGTGGTGTAAAGCATACAAACTGAAAACAAAGTCAGGCATATGTATGAAAGCTGAAAAGTTCAACAAACATGGTTAAAGATGGCCTCGCCTCCACAACATGCAGTGCCATGTCTTTCAAACAATCCTGTTTCTGTGATGTCCAAACCAGCAATAACAACCCTAAAAATATCCACATCATTTTTCACACAGCACTATTTACAGTGCCTCATTTTCTGCACATCACTATTTACAGTGCCTCATTTTCCAGACAGAACTATTCACAGTGCCTTCTTTTCCAGACAGAACAATTCATAGTGCCTCATTTTCCACACAGCACTTTTTACAGGTCACAATGTCCATGACATTATTTACAGTATCTCAGTTTCTTTTAGAAAGCCTCAGTCATTTTATTGAATAACTTAGTTTAGTTCAATCTGGCTCATCTGAGCCACACACTGGTCACATGTTTAGTTTTGGGTAATAGGACTCATCGTGCTGTGATTGTGGGGGGCGGGGGAATGAGGCAGGTGTGCCATCCGGGAGTCACACCTTCACAATGCAGGCCCCTGACTGTGGAGAGCAGGCCATCTTAAACTAGTGCTAATGTTCCATATATAACAGAGACACATACGGTATGCACTGTACAAGCTACAGTTCTAGATAGACTTGCAAGTGGGTTACAGTTCACTTGACCTATCATGTGGTGAATGACGAAGCTGAATGAATCCAACAGTGGTCAGTTCCACCCCAAATTATATTTAGCCTGGAAGCTTTAATTATTTTTTTTCATATTCAGTACTACCAGAACAGTGAAGTTAATACTGGACACAGATATTAGCAGATGAGGGAAAACATCTTCCATTTCTGGCCCTTTAGTCCAAAGAATGACCCCCCACTCCATCCCAAATATAGAACAAATTGTAATAAAAGATAATTTCTGAAACTAAAGGTTTTATTTGCCTGTCAATGTGACGAACGAAAAGGGTGCAACTCATCACAGCTTGGAAATACTGCAAATCTTGCAATGGCATGTACAACTGAAGACTACTACAAACTATGCTTTAATCTAAAATGATCACAGAAACATGTTCACACATTAGTCAAACCACAACATGCAGTCACCATCCACAATCAAAAAAATCAAATTTCCTTCCCGATAGGTAAACTCAGCCCACCAATATCCTGTCCAAGCTCATCTTCCAGCCTCTCTGAGTCTTGATAACTGAGCCAGTTCATCAGCAACTAATACTACAAGAACCGTGACGAAGGTGATATCTAGATGGTGTACTGCAGCCGTTTCTTGCTACAGTCTGAACTAAGAGATCATCGAGTCTTACCCTGAGTGGTTTACAATTATCTCGAACATAGCGGCCTGCTGAACTCTTCTCCTCCCATTCAAATCGACCATGGTAGAAATACTTTTGCTTTCTTCAAAAAAAAATAAAAGAAAATACAAGCGGTGTGACACATGCAGCACACAACAAGAACTGCCAGGCATGCTGGGAACATTCAGGATGGGCAAGCTTCTTATCGACAGTTACCTTCTTCTTGAAACCGGACAACATTCTGATCTATTGTATGAAATACAGTTTCAAAATCTTCTATTTCTTCAGCAACTTCTTTCTGAATTTAACATTCATATTAATGAATAATATATATTTCCTTTTTTCCAAAGAAAAATATATTGTATAATTTATTAATTTATTTTCCCAAAAGAGTTTGAAGTTCACCTATGTGAACCTTCGTGCCAGTCTTTGGAATTAGGTGCTGCAGATAAGAACTGTCCATAACCTCCTGTTCAACAGTACACTCAACAATGATGAACACTCTACCTAGCACATCATGGACCAGGCATGCATACGTAGGTCCAGGTTGCATGCCCACATACTTACATAGAGGGGCTTGCAGTTCTCGCGGACATATCGCCCTGCGGACGTGGTCGGGTCCCAGTCAAGGCGACCGTGCCAGAAGTAATTTGTTCTTTAGGGTGAAAAAGACCATTTGCATGTCAATAACCCATCTGAGAATTACTTTTGATTAATGTTTATCCTCTTTCATTGTTGTAAACAAAATGTGCATGACAACACGGTTAGAAACGTTCAGTTTCAATGGTCCTCAAAATGATCACGGCCCTGTTCCACAAAGTGACTGTAGCGCTAAGATGATCATAACTCCCACACTTCATAGACTTATGATGGTTGTTGTGCTACCATCATCGCCTTGTGGAACAGGGCCAGCTACAGAGTTGTCATCCATCTAATGGTAAAAGTGGAAGTCTACAAGATGGCCCTCAGACTAGCGGACTGATGGTAACTTCGAACCTAGCTGGTATGGTTGATGTGACTAAAGGAGTAAATGACAAGGTTTTATTGCCATGGTCAGCATTATCTATCTTGATGGTTGCAAATAGATGTCAGGACCACGCCAACCAATGCTGGATGAAGTGGGCACCTATCCACAGAACCGGGCAATGAAGACACCAACCCAGATGAGGCAGTGTTTCTCCCCCCATGTAGTCACAGAATGCATACTACAGGGGACCCTCACTCCACCAACTCATCCCTACTGGTGAAGACACGTCAAGTTGGAACCCTTGATTCACATCAGGGAGTCAAAGGGCCTGCCCAAAGGGTTTATCAATGTATCAAGTATTCACTTCTGTTATAGAGAAAAGTAAACATGTATTGAGATTCATTGAATATCTAACTTATGCTACATGTGTGATTCAAGTGATTCAAATAACAAACTTGCATATTGAGTCATTACTGACAGTCAAATAGGTGTCTGTAGCAGTCATGTGTTACTGTATACGTTCAGATACCAATAATGATCTAAACATGACATTTGCTACCAGCCACCACTAACTTTGTTTGTTTGCTTGTTGTTTAACGCCGCACTCAGCAATATTCCAGCTTTATGACGGCGGTCTGTAAATAATCGAGTCTGGACCAGACAATCCAGTGTTTGACATCATCAGCATCAATCCACGCAATTCGGATATGATGACATGCATCAACCAAGTCAGCGAGCCTGACCACCTGATCCCCTTAGTCGCTTCTTACGACAAGCAAAGTCACCTTTAACAGCAAGCATGAGTTGCTGAAGACCTATTCTACCCCGGATCTTAACGGGTCACCTGGAGGCATGATGTAGCAGCTCTGCCAATCCGCACGTTAATTACTTTCATTATTATTTCATAGGGCAGTCAAGTCATAAAAAAGTCAAATACTTAGCAATGACACTAAATATACATCTCTTCTTGATAAAAGGATAAATAGAAAATACATATTATTTCTCAAAATAGGAAATCAAGTATTTTAATATACCCTAATCAAAATCTAGAGTAAGAACTAACAGACCTAAATTCATGACAGAACTTTTTCTGAATTGTATTTATTGAAAAGAACTATTTCTGATGACGCATCAAGATCGGAGACCAGTGATCCTGTGTACTGAGATTACAGTGTATAGATTGCCACAGTGTTTTGCTTACTTTGTTTTCTTTGCCATTCTGTAGGGTAGGGAGCCAAGAATCCGCTCCATCATTGCCAAATGCTCCTTGTTGTCATGTGTCTGGAAGGAGCAAATCAGGTTACAGCCAAAGTTTAGTTGGTAGGCCAATCAAAGATCATTTAACTCATCTAGGGCCTGATCATTAGATGTTTGCCTCAACGGGAGCGCCACCACTTGTTTCATGAATGTACCAACAAACTGATGAATATCATAAAATTCTTCAGTACAAGCAGGATCTGAACCAGAATGCGGGAACAATAATACAATCAAGTAATCTTTGTTACTTCGATTTCTGCTCTCATGGATTCTGGAACTTGGCTACACAAATAGAGCTATAGTTATCTCCCTTACAGTGAATACACGACACAGCCGATTAAAGACGATGACATTCTTGTGCAGGGCATACACAGCAAATAATTATTTCTCCCTCAATCATTACTTGTGAATCTTGGTACAAGGGGTTTAATTCTGCTCGAGAGATACTGAGTTAAAAGCTATAAACAATGATTTGGCAATTCAAATGCACAAGTAATGTACTTGTTTTACTCAAAAGCATTCCCAATCATTGCGTTTTAACCTAACATATATCGGATGCATGATATTTGATCAGTGTTCGGGACAGATAAATCCGCTGTTCTCAACATGGAAGTGTGCCCAGCAGGTTGGTGTTCTGTTAACGGAGGAGGGAGATACTGACCTGGAATAACGTGTAGCCTGTGTACAGCTCAAACATGATGCAGCCTATACTCCACACATCACATGGTTGCGACCACCCCAGCTCTGAAACACAGCAAACAGGTCAGAAAAACAGTACTTCACAATGGCGACCTTGACATTTAACACACAAGAACTGTGTGTGTGCATGTGCGTGCGCGTGCGGACTGATGCCGATTCATAGTGCTAGCACACTGAGATATCATGTCGCAGTTTAACATGAATATCCCACTGAGACACAGTATACTGACTCCTAGCAGACCAGTCCTTGTTTCAGCCCCTTAATGCCGAGTGCCAGACAGGGTAACAACAAGTACCATCTTATTTAGTCTTTTGGTATGATGCTGCCGGGGATCGAACCCTGCACCTTTAGCTCTCCGGGTGGTACTCTACCACTAGAACATGGAGGCGGTCTAATAACAATAAACGACATAACATTTCATACTTACTCTGAGCATCACAAGGGTAGGTATGTAAGTATAATCAAATACTGTTAACTTATCATGCAGTATTACCTAGTATAACCTCTGGAGCTCGGTAATGCCTCGTTGACACTATTGTGCTGTGGTGTTCGTGGTCGAATGTTGCTGACCCAAAGTCTATTAACCGAATGTCTGTAGACTTCACTCTCCGTTCGTCTCTCCGCTGTCGACAAAGAACAGTTCACTGTTATGTCTGAACTACATGTAATTGTATCTGGATGAGTCTAGACTGGAGACATTCAGACCTGAACGCAATGAAAACATGGTCTTGTTTCAGAGCCATGAAACCAGCTGATACAATTCCATACGTCACCTACACTTCTCAGTCCTCAATAAAGTTCTTCACACATTCCAATATAGTTCTGTGTATAATTATGTGTGACAAAGACTCTTGATGACCCAAATGAGAGTAGAGACTTGTAAAGTTACCCATCAACCAATTACAATTAAAATCAAGGAGTTATGCTGAAATACTTATGATTACTAATCAATATTTTGACTTGACCAGCTGAAATACCCAGCAAATTAAAAAACACACTCCTTAATCTCCCTGATTAGAAACAGACAAACATTCCCCTGATTTATTGGTATTTACTTGGTAAAGATAAACAAAGTTCAACGAAAGTAACCTAAGATGTGAGATACAAGAATATCAACTTACGTTACTCACCTTCTTTTGATTGTATGCGACTTCAAACTCTGAATTTAAAAATAAAATATTTTCTGGTTTCAGATCTGTGTGGGTCAGCTGATTTTCGTGTAAAACTGAAAAGGGAAATCCAGGAGTCAAGTTACTTGTTAAACAGAGCATCACAACCTAAACAAGAAAAAACTATTTGTAGAAAACTAGTCGGTCACTGTGTTTTATACACAGCATTTACAATATTCCAGCCATAACATCGGGAAACACAAGAAGTCTGCTTCACATACTGTATAATATTGAGTAATGCCTTGTTAACATTAACTTGCAGATCTTTTGATGTTATGCAATAATACTAAATAATGTCTTCAGGATAAATAGATCTTGAAGTACACAGTCTGTGCCATAAACTTTTGACTCTACTAGCCCAAACATGGCTCTTAGCATCAATTTTAGTGTCAGCATATCAACTGTTATAAGTTGAGCTTTTGAGACTGAACACAGTTTACTAGACTCAAACTTCGGACTAGTGGAAAGTCACAGACTGAGTACATATATATGAGGTAGTCGAAAAAGACAAACGGTCTGCAAGACTACAAAGAAGTAATACAAGCCAAAAGTATTGAAGAAACAGGAGGCTTTCCAGGATGACAGAGGGACGACACTTACAGTTAACTGCATAGACGAGCTGGTAGGATATGTGTCGGACTTGCTCAAGGGGGTAAGGTACGTAGTTGTTGTCTTTCTGCAAGTCAACAAACACAATCTGATAAACACCCTGTAAACCATGGCTCTTTAATATTCTATATCTTTGAGAAGCTTAAGAACAAGCAACTTATTTCTGGGCCTTAAACAGGTTATATTCAGAAAGGACGTGTTGTAAATTCACAATACATTACACAGGAAATGAAATGAACACAGCATTGGTAATAACATGCAAAGCCTATGTTTCCCCATCTGTAGCTGAACCTAATGTACTGTGAAGGGATGAGCAAGAAAATATACAGGAACTAAACTGACTTCTCCAACACCATGATGTTTAAACAGACTACAGTAACCTGCTCTCAGGCAGGATCGCTTACTGCAAGCCCATCCCAACCCCATGCTAATAGTCTCACAACTACTTCTGACATTTGCAGGAGTAAGACTAGTTCACATACAACTAGCACATGTTCCCTGCACCAGCCATTATGCTTCATTCAGGGAACCTTCCAGCGCATGCTGGTCTCCCTGACATTTCATAACAGTTGTGGAAGCAATTACCTCCCCTGACGAAGATGGGTGCTATGCTGCAGATGTTGTAATCTGCCCAGTAACAGCACCACCAGGCTCTTACAGATGGGAGGAAGAAATATCAGCTGAATACATTTAAAGCAGAAATTTGGATTTAAGATGTTTACTTCAGTCGTAATAAAGGGTTGTAGCAAAGTTGTTGACGAACTTACGAGGAAGTCGAAGACACTGAGTCCCAGCATATCGAATGCCAAGCACATGTGGCCATGGTAGTCAAACCAATCCAGCATCCGCACACATAGACTGAAACAAAATTGAGCAAACTTAATTTCAAAGCATAATTATATGATGCTTAAGGTTATATGAAATTTCAATTGGAAACAAGACAACTGGACATGTGACTTTTGATCTACTTAATATAAACTGATATTGGCTGACTCAAGAACTTGCTGAAAGAAGTTGAAATCATGACTGATGCAAGACATTATAATTGTCTTTGACAATTTGAGCTTAGAGTTTTCAAAATAAACCTTCAGAAACAAAAGACATAATTCTGTATAGACCACTTAGGGTTATGGCGGAACTTATAATGATAAAAGGCTCATCTTGCTAGCTTAATGATACGCTTTCATCAGTGGATGATGCCAAATATCTAAAGACACCACAGTGAGACTTCTTTCATGTTTTCTTGTCTGTTTATTCACTTAGTTTGTCATTGATAACTAAAATTGTATTTCAACAAGAGCAAAACATCACTACTGTAACTAAATGAAGACATCATTTTGAGAAACTCTGTAGATAGTACATCTTTACCTAATGCTAAAATATATACAGTGTATTAAAGGAACATTTCTTGGACACAGGTGCATCAATTTAATCTTGGGCATCATGTCCAACCTCCCTCCTCACTTTTGAGAATCATGTATTTTTTCATATGCAGCCTGTTTTTATGAAGATGGCAAACTATATCAGAATTTAACAAATGTTATTTTTGGGTTAACACGCTCTTAGTTAAGTAGAGATTCTAATTAGTTGTTTTAAATAATGAAAGAAACATTTTCCTTTCATTGCTGTGGGTGCATATTTTCAAGAAGATAGTTGAAATGTTTTTACCATGAATATTTTTGGCGTTGATATTAAGATGATGGTTATCAGCTAAGTAGGCATGAAGACATCAAGCATCTTGAAAAAATATCCCTTGATTCTTTATTCATATAACTGTTTTCACAAAAGCATTTGTCCCATCATTGCTCTGGGCACAAGCTATGTCTGAGTGTCGGCACGTCAAGAGTTTAAAAGCAGAGTCAATGTTTGACGCATGAGAGATACCATGTACCCACTCACAACACTCCAGACCAACTGCTATCAGCCAGTACACACTACACTCCATGCTGGATGCATGAGAGACACTCACTTCGTGAACATCATGACCAACAGCACACTGAACAACTGGCAGACCAACTGCCATCTAACAGTCAACACCGATACTATCCTGTGCAGAAATCTACAATTGGCTCAAAATCCAAAAAAGCATCTGGGGATATGATGTACATTAATGTTTAAAACATCTGCGCTTTCTAAACTCTGAAACAGTAGATAATGGTGAATGGGCTGCAGCGTGAGGGACTCTGGACTCACTGTAGGTAATTTGATAGGGTAATAGCTGCAACTCACTAAACTGTCATGCCCATGGTTTAACCATAGGATATCTAATGGATTGGGCTTATCTTTAACATTAGAAGTACTGGTGTTTCAGTCAACATGACTGAATCATTATGCAACTCAATTCATGACTTCACTGAACATGGTGAATTTGACAATGTTTATCTGTTTTAAGGCAGGTCACACTTGTAAGGGTACTGATCAACAGTAGGCTTCACATGAGTGAGTGAGTGAGTGAGTGAGTGAGTGAGTGAGTGAGTGAGTGAGTGAGTGAGTGTGTTGCATGATACTGCAGTCAGCAAAATTCCAACTTTTGACTGAATCATTATGCAACTCAATTCATGACTTCACTGAACATGGTGAATTTGACAATGTTTATCTGTTTTAAGGCAGGTCACACTTGTAAGGGTACTGATCAACAGTATGCTTCACATGAGTGAGTGAGTGAGTGAGTGAGTGAGTGAGTGAGTGAGTGTGTTGCATGATACTGCAGTCAGCAAAATTCCAACTTTTGACTGAATCATTATGCAACTCAATTCATGACTTCACTGAACTGAGTGAGTGAGTGAGTGAGTGAGTGAGTGAGTGAGTGAGTGAGTGAGTGAGTGAGTGAGTGAGTGAGTGAGTGAGTGTGTGTGTTGCATGATACTGCAGTCAGCAAAATTCCAACTTTTGACTGAATCATTATGCAACTCAATTCATGACTTCACTGAACATGGTGAATTTGACAATGTTTATCTGTTTTAAGGCAGGTCACACTTGTAAGGGTACTGATCAACAGTAGGCTTCACATGAGTGAGTGAGTGAGTGAGTGAGTGAGTGAGTGAGTGAGTGAGTGAGTGTGTGTGTTGCATGATACTGCAGTCAGCAAAATTCCAACTTTTGACTGAATCATTATGCAACTCAATTCATGACTTCACTGAACATGGTGAATTTGACAATGTTTATCTGTTTTAAGGCAGGTCACACTTGTAAGGGTACTGATCAACAGTATGCTTCACATGAGTGAGTGAGTGAGTGAGTGAGTGAGTGAGTGAGTGAGTGTGTTTGTTGCATGATACTGCAGTCAGAAAAATTCCAACTTTTTCCTCTTAGCCTGGAATTTAGAGGGAGTTCCTTCCTGTGTTCAGGTCTTCACAACCTGCTTGTCCCCGACACTGAAGGCTGATAGAGCCAATATAACAGTATCACCAGAGTCAGTGCACTGGTTGTCTTAACAGATGACATAGAAGATATGAAGGCACTAGAGTGACTATGGAAGCTCCTATGGGTTTATTGATGGGTATGACAAGTTTCTAGAAAATATCATGGCTCACCGAGTTTTTCCACAAATAATGTGAAATGCTCAAGATGGGCCAGGATGTGACCACATGCAAGTAATTGGGTTGAGATAAGCTGGGATGCCGGAGATAATGTTCCCCAGTCCTACATCATGGAACATGAATTCATCTCGAGGAGAGATGCACAGGTTTCCATCAACTCCAGGGACTGGCCATCATGCTTCACAGGTCACACTACATCTAAGTTATCAAAGAAATAGGCTATGTGGCTATCATCCAATCTGAGGCTATTCAACTCACAATTACTCCTTTGATCAAATATTATATGGGTACCCCACAAGAAGTTGACATGTACTGTATCCAATCAGAACTCCCCTTTCCCAGTGTGACATGAATGTTGTGTCAGCAACACAGAACTGTACTTCACAAGGTTAAGATTGAATAGTGAGTGAGTTGGGTTTAACGCCGCTTTTAACAGTATTCCAGTCATATCGCGGCGTGTCAGCTTAATGTGGGAGGAAAGCCCGAAGTGATGCAGGTCTCAGACGTTTACCACTTCGGTGAAACCCACGAGCACGGGTATGGTGCTGACAAACCTAGAAACATAATCGGGGCGAACCGGGATTCAAACCCACAATCATAGGTTTCTGGCGTGCCCAAGGGATGCAACTCTGCACAGCGAATCGCGGCGCCTTAGACGACCGGGCCACCCGTGCCCCCTAAGACTGAATAGCTTAAGGTTTGTTTCTGTCCAAATCAATAATTTGATATACGGCAATTTGTGAAAGTACATTTTCACAGAATAATTTGCAAATTCGAATAATGTATTTGACATATAATATTATGAGCCACCCACTTTTTGAAAACATATTTGGTTAAAATCACATTTTGAAACTTTCTCCTTGAGTATGTTCTGGTAACCTTACCCTTGGAATAATTGGAAACAGAATACTAGGTACATGAAAATAAACCTTTAAATTTGAAAAATGTTTTGTGGAAGGGGGCGTGTTAGCCCTTGTTAGTGTCAGTGTGTGTGTGTGTGTTTTAACACAGCACTGCAATATTCCAGACATAAGTTGGGATACATTTATGCCTGCTGCTAAATCCTCATTCACAAGCTCTGATACATGTATGCAAGTTGTAGTGAAGCAAAACCTCACCCAAGCTCTGATACATGAAGATCAAGAAAAAAATATGTTTTGGTTCAACAAGCACTTTCCAAGAAGACATAATATTGAAATCAGCAAAAGAGACAATTAACCTCAAGAGCAAGCACTTCTGACAAGCTAATTTCACCTGAAAGAGCTAACAGTCTTTAGCCATTCATAACTGTCAAACTGCTGATGGGTGCGCTGAGGTGATACTTCTCAATTAACCATTTTAAAAAAAGATTGATTGATCGGTCATTTGAAAAGCCCCATAAAACAATTACTAGCAATTACAGTGCTCGAAATTAAGGATCCATGGAGAAAGTCCTCCTTGGTATTTGAATCAAGACCTCATAACGCTTAACATACTGGGCCCTGTTCCACAAAGCCATCTTAGCGCTAAGTTGATCGTAACTCCCATACTTTAACACTGGCTTATCGTAGCGCTAAGATCTCTTTGTGGAACGGTGCCCAGGCTATTACAATGACCCCTTGATTTTCATGCTTCTGTTCGAACACTGAATAGTCCTATCCCGGTGGATATGAAGCAGGTTGAACATACTAATTAGTGATGGGTGTTGGCCTGACTTTCGTATTGCAATTTACTGTGATAATGATTCATGTATTGTGATATGTACCACAATATATTGTCTTCATTCTTTCGTCTGTAATTTGTTATGAACCTAAACAAAAATAACCCAAATGATAAAGGACTTCCCCCTCATATATTGACACCTTTGTAGTCATCTGACATTTTGTTGGCTGTTGCTATGGTCACAAAGCATGTGTAATAGACACATTATATACAGGAAGCTGGTCGCAAGTAGTTTTGCTTTTTTTCGATCACAGGAATCACTTGCTTATTTCCGAATTTCATAATACTAATTTGACTTGTCACTTAAGTCCCCTTCTCAACATGTGAAAATATGAATGATATTGAAAAACACAATACACCAGTATTTTCCAAATGTATTGTGATATGTACTCAATAGTATTTCAAACCGTGTTATGTCAGTATACCAGTACTGTGCACTTCTACATTAAATTACCTGATTTGGGAGGTGGCATGGAGGAAAGATATATATACTATTTTGGGAAAGTAATGTTCTAGGTAGAAAGTCTATTTGCTGAATTAACACAAGAAAGATATGGGGATCCAAATGTGATCTGTGTGTCACAAACAAAGTAAGGGTCTATTAGAGTTGGTCATCCTTAGGTCGTGGCTGCAATACAAGATATACAAATAATTAAAATCTTAAGTGACCACTCCCGAAGACCCACATATCTGGATACATTCCTGCACTCCAGGGACAGAAAGTCCCACTAGTCTGCTATCTCAGTGACTGAGGTTCATGGAGGACAAGTAGAACTCATGGCCTGTGAGGACTTATAGGGTGTTCTCACTGTCCTCACTTTCCCTGGCTAGTGAATGTTTCAGGAGAATTTCTACTGCTGTGCAAAACAAGGGCCAGACAACTTGGTAGTTCTACTTGGTTTCTGTCCAGTTCATGTACTGACTCCAACAGCACTGATACTTCTGACACAGCCCATAGTCATTTTACTAAAGGACATCATGACCACGACTCAGTGTTCCCAATTACTTTTTCAGTCGCTGAGCGTCATTCCTTGTGCTATGAAATGTGCAGTAGTCCGATATCAGGAACTAACATTATGAAATACAGGCCTTCTGACAACCTCTCTAAAACCTCTACGATATGGTTGCATGCAGGGATTGAAGAAACATTTGTTATACACTGCATGATACAGGTGTTGAAGATGCTTGGCATGCCGTCTAATACCTCATAATAAATTAAACAACTAACTGAAAAGAATGGGTCATCAATCTCATGAATTTTCTTTCAGAACACTTGTGTTATATGTTGATTGCTGCAGTATCAAGGCCTCCAAACTGAGTGCCCTTAGCAGGCAATTTGGGGGAAAAAACTTTTTTTGTTCAAAATTGGTATTTTCATAAAGTCAATACTTCTTGTATTCAGGTGTTTTTTAACATCTCATCTCATGTGAAAAATCTAAAACTAAGCATTACAACAAATACCTAGATTTATGAGCCACAGGTAAGTAATAATGTCTTTGTAACTACATACACATTCCCAGTTAACAATCACTGTTGATCCCTACCATAACTGGAATCATTTTGAGTTAATTTTCAAGTCCATGGACATGAACCCACAAATGAAATGACACGGAGTCCATCAGTACTCTCAGCTTCAGTATGTGTTGTTGACATAGGAACACTATCACAGCAATGTAACCCTAACCAGGGGTAGATACCGGTGTCATACCCAACTGGTCAGCAGCTCACTTTGGACTAATACTTAATGAAAAATAACTAGATTTTTTGTACAAAACAACTGGGTTTTCACTTGTCTTGGACAGACAGACAAGTGGTCATGTCTGTCCCTAACAGAATGAACAGCCTACTGTTACTTGGTGTGTCCAGCAGGTGAAGTAAATAAGTAGGAAAACTCTAGATAGGAAACACTGGCCAGTCACAAGCCAACTTGCCTAGTCTGAAAGAAATTATATCAGACAAAGGTTTTGCCAGTCGGCATAAGTCCATCTGTAGAAACACTGTAGATGACATCATCCAATAATTTCCTCCCACAAGATGTAAACAAACCCAACAGAAAACAAATACGCAACTCATAAATCAATTTTCAGACAAAAATCTCAGAAATTCTCCAGAAAACCTTTCATTTTACAAGGTTCTAGAACTCCCATTTCTTATCAGATGTTACAGAAATGAAAGTCGAAGTGGAAAGCAACAACGTCAGTGATGACACTGAATGGCTACAACTACGCATTTGGCACAAGTTGGTAAACAAAACCCGCCAAAGAAGCCAACCAAACGCCAAGGAAGCCAACCGAAAGCAGCAAACAAAGTCAGAGAGTATCACTATGGTAACGGGTCATAAACATCTTTGTTTCTTCTGCAAACACCCACTGAAATATCAACCCTTCCTTGCAAGTGTAAGAGTGTTTTCACCCAGTCTAAAGATAGGCGTCTCGGGAAAACGTCCTATTCTGGACCCATGTGGCAGATGTTGCCACAAAGTTTATCTCCTTCACAGGTGCTCATTAGTTAGTATATTTGTTCAAGGTAACACCCCTATAGAACACACTGCTAAGCACTGTCCACTCCTCATCACTTATATCAGTACGGGACCTTTAGCTGATAAACAGGAGTTCATCTTGATACTTTTTCATGCTGTACACACATCCATCAGGGTGTTTATATTCCATTTATTTATATTTTTATGTGTGTATATGCATAGTGATCACATAAGCAAGGCACACACCTGGGATACCACCATGAGTTTAGTTAAATCAAATTAGTCAAAACTCAATTATAATTGGTACTTTATGGTAAGTGAGTGAGTTGGGTTTAACGCCCCCTTTAACAGTATTCTAGTTATATATCGCGGCGTGTCAGCTTAATGTGGGAGGAAAGCCCGAAGTGATGCAGGTCTCAGACGTTTATCATTTTGGTGAAACCCACGAGCATGGGTAAGGTGCTGACAAACCTAGAAACAATCGGGGTGAACCTGGATTCAAACCCACAATCATAGGTTTCTGGCGTGCCAAAGGGACGCAACTCTGCACAGCGAAGCCTTAGACGAATGGGCCACCCGTGCCCACCGGTGCTTAATGGAGCCAATTTTGGGGGAAAAAGTACCTGGTAGTCTTTCCAGATTGTGACATGTCTGTCAATAAGCTAAGTGGATGTGTGTAACTGTTCACAATATCCACTTGCCTACTTCTTAAATTTTTTCCATTGTTTACATAATTGAAAAAATTATAAGTAAAAGAATTTTAAATAATAATATTATAGCTAAAATCGAGAGAATTATCATTAAAACGCCTGCATGTTATCAGAAATGAGCAGAGCACTGTAACTTGATAATGCCTTCATATTGCTTGACGACGGGCCATTATCCTGCCCTTTGTTTGATGATGTCATACTGATGTTCAATAGTGACGTTTCCATATTTGTGGGTCAGTGACATTCATTGTGTGTGAGTAAATGTTTAAAAAACGATAATGTTGTTTATTTTTATTTGATAACAAAATCTATCCATTTTATCTACAATAACGATAATGCTATTTTTCAGGGTATTATCATTTGCAGAAGCCCTCGTTCTTTTCAATTTCCCTCCTTTGTCGAGCAGTTATTGGAAAACCTCAGATTTCTGCAAATGATAATGCCCTGAAAAATAGCGTTACCCTTATATCATCACCTATTTTTCGATTACAGTGTCTTTCCACCCAGTAACATGAGAAAATACCTCTTTTTTCGAAGCTTTGTACGAGTCACACGTGCCAAGATTCCTACAATGTTTGGTATCATTCGAAAGCTCTGCACATCCATAATATTACAGTAACCTCGCCTGGGTCGCCCGGGGAATATTCGTAATTGTAACGTGTTACTATTTGACAGGAATTTGGTTTTTTTCACGTAATCCGCTTTAAGTATCGTGACTTGCCAACTTCAAACATGTGCCATAAGACAGCCAATCAAACTACAGCAATGGATACTGTCCTCATATCTAATTTTCAGATTAAGATGAAAGATTTTGGTTAAATTGTGTTATTTTGAACGTTTCAAACATGAAATTGCAACCCATATCTAAAATATGCCAAGTTATGAACTGTGACAAAGATTTCTTACGCACATATTTTGGCAAGAAACATTGTGTCCGAGCGTGAAAATTGAGGGAACTAAAGCCAAGATATCGTTTGATAAAATATGGTGAATTGAAATGAAATACAGCAGAACACGGATATAACGAACAGAGCGAACCAAGGGATACAACAAACTCTTACAAAATCCCCAATATATCTCCCATATATTATCACATAAAAGCTCCGTATCAAACTCTCTACAGTGAACTAACATATATAGCGAACTGATATCCGATCCCCGACAAGTTCAAATACCAATAATTAATGATGTTTATAGCAAACTGAGAAATCTCATTCAGTGTCACTGACAACTGGCTATACGCAATCAGCGGCGAATCAACAATCAGTGCTGACGATTCAACCTTGCTAAACTTGCTTAATGTTAATCTTACCTGTGCATGTAATTGGACTAATCTTGTCAGTGAAATAAATTATGTGTATTGTGTTTTGTCTTATCCAAGATGGCAGACGTTTCCAAGCGAAAACGTATATAATGAACTGATTTCTCCAGTTCCTTGTAGTTTGTTATATCCATGTTATACTGTACACGTTTTCAGACGTAGTGAATAGTGATATTTAATAAACAAATGATATGACAGGTAGGTTCATAAAGTTAAATATTATTTTGATGTAGTTACGGTGGCTGACATACCAAACTGCAGTGTCTGGGGACTCATAACATTGTGGCTGGTATACCGGCATGCGATGTTGAAAGAGTTAACCAGTCTGTGTCCAACACAGCTGGCCATACACATAACTTAGAATCACAGTCACTCTATTGAAGTCTTTCTGTGAGAACTATTGTAAATCTGACACAAGTCTACTCACTGTTTTCCTGTAGCATCCTTCTCCCTCAGTTTCTCTAGAACATTTATTTCCAACTTGGCTGCTTCTCTGTACTTTTCCACATTCTTGATGATTTTTAAGGCAACTCTTTCATTTGGACTGGAATAGAAGAAAATGTTTTATTAAGTATTCCAACAACCAACTGATTGAGACTGGATGTTATGATGTTTGATAATGTGCCCCAGTATCTCATCTACCACAAATGTCAATGTGATAACTAAAACTAGACATGTTTCATTTCCTTGTCCTCGATGAAGTTCAGGGATAGAACAGCCATGTATGTGAGATAACAAAGCTGAACTTGAAAGAGAATAACAAGCCTAAAGAGAGTCATGATACAAAACTGGCAACTTCTAGACCCACACCCAATGATATCAGTATGTGGCCTTATATGAGATAAATTGTTATTCACCGAATAACCAAAACGCTGTGAAAAAACGAAGAATATGGAATAAAAACCAATCCATCATAGATTACTGTATTAAATATATCACTGTGAGTGATGCCTACAGCTCAATGTGTAAAGTGTTGGATAAGAATGGCAGCCATTGCTGGGAATGAATGGCCAGACTGTGTAAAGTTATGCCTGGGAAGACTGTTATGATGGAGGGCAGCCAGATGGGGAGAGATGGCTGCCTCATATTCCAAACAAACTACTCATATCGCTACACTCATAGCTGATAAATGCAGTTGTGTTTTATGCTGTTTACACTGTAGATCCTAAAGATGGATCGAGTGGTTTAGAGGAAATTATTACAGCGTGTAAGAACAAACAGAAAGTGTTGTGTAATCACATCAACTGTATTGGAGGCCTAAGATCAAGTAATTGTATTTTACAAGAGTTATTATGACTCCTGTAATAACAAAGTGGACTAAAGTAGAGACTGCTTTCTTTACAACTGATGCTGATCATCCCTGACACTGGGGCTGGGACGGGCAACTGGGGTACTCGGGTTGGGTGGGTAATGAGTAGGACCCGGGTACCCACAGGACTACCCGGACCCGTGGTTAGTCACGTGATATATTGTTTTATAACAGAAATTATCTAAAACTCTATGGTTACACTACAATTCACTAATGTTGGCATTTCTGTGTTTGTATAAAGATAAAACTTCAGTAAATTTCAGTGTGTGCATGACCAGATAATTTTAAATGTATATCTAAATACATTTTGCCAGGGCTACCGTCAAACATTTCCCAATCGGATATTTTGTATCCAACACTTGAGACCTACAGCCGGTACCTGTGTAGGGTCGGGTAATAGGGGGGTGGGTATCTGGGTAGTAAATGTGGACTCGTCCCAGCCCTAGCTGACACACCCTCCCACCCACCCAATCTTGTCCCCAGGAAAAGGTAAACATGGACAGTTCATTCTAGATTTGAGAACATTTGGCCCATTACCCACTTATCAACAAATATGTCGGCCTTTCTGTCATTCTGATGGGTCATCAATAATGAATAAACGTCTCCCTGTAATTTTTTACTTTTCTATTTAATATTTTGTGTTTCCTTGGAGACATGTTTTTACACCAAGCCAATAGTACACTTTATCATAAAACGGGTTTCTCAGCAGGATAAATCCAACAGATAAAAACAGTATCTGTTTATGGTCAATTACAGATAAATAAGCAAATAAAAGAGGTCAGGAAGGTACTACATATACATGCAAGTGTTTACCAACACGGCGCCACCCATGTCTATCGAGTCAGAATTGACCATCAGGGATCAAGACAAATTGGGAATAATTGGGACATCATAATTAAATCCTATTATCAAATACCACAAAGCACCACTGGTAATCATGGACCATTACAACTGATCATTGCATCAGTACAGGCCAAATGTTCAATTACTGATCATAATCATTCATTGGAGCATCATTAATTCCAGCTTAAACTTGTTCAAATCTGTACCACAAGAATAGCCTAATTCTGTATCGGCTATACATGTACACATCATGACATGCTAAGGGTTAGGGTTAGAGGTTAGATCAAGGGTTAGGGTTTGAGGTTAGATCAAGGCCTTTCCCCCTCACACGGACTTGGCAATTCTATTGAGAACACACTGGACAATCTTCTAAGCCCTGGGGCCATACTTTGGAGTCTTTCCCCTTCTTTCATCAACATTCCGGGGTAGACTAGGTCTTCAGCAACCCAAGCTTGCCGTAAAAGGTGACTATGCTTGTCGTAAAAGGCGACTAACGGGATCGGGTGGTCAGGCTCACTGACTTGGTTGATGCATGCCATCGATACCAATTGCGTGGATCGATGCTCGTGATATCAATCACCGGATTGTCTGGTCCAGACTCGATTATTTTACAGACCGCTGTCATATAGCTGGAATATTGCTGAGTGCGGCGTTTAACAACAAACCAACCAACCAACTTTTATCAACAAGTGGCTTCAAATGCAAAGCATCTTAGTACCCACAATCAGGTCAGACTGAAGCTCCCAATTACTTAGAGTGGTCAGACCAAGTAATGACTGAATTATTGCCCGTCTTAACTCATTTACCTTGCAAGCAGGGTGTGCATGATTCTATTGGAGAATAACAAGAACACTGTCCCTACTAACAACATAACCATTAACCTGTGAGTCTATATATGTCTACAAAACAGGTAGGTGGTAACACAGAATGGTAAAGCACTTGGCTCTGACATTAACAGATGAAGCTACGTCACTCTTCCTGTTGCCGATCTCACTTTAGAATGGCTAAAAATACCATCTCTTCTTTCAACCGTTTTCATAGTAGCTTCTTGAATCATTCTGACGAAATGTTTGATGTTTGTGATCCCAACTTTAGGTTACCATCTTCAAAATACAATTGCCTCGCTCCAACTGTCTTTGTCCATCAATGGAACAATGTAAAGACACTTCTAAAACATTCCATTGGATGTGTCTGCCAAAAATGATATTTAATATAATGACTTGTTTTACAACTGGCATAAATCCTTATTGAGTATATTCTTCTTGTTAATCAACAGTGTATTTCTACAGCCATATGTTCGAGAATTTAATCCTAGGCCTCTGGATCAAATGCTTCCTGCTTCATGTGTAGTGTAATAGAAATCCTTTCAATACGAGAACTCGTGGCATACATTCAAAAGTAGGAAAATCTGCCAGTTAAGAATTGGACACTTTTTAGTTTGCATCACATGCTTATAATAGTACATGGGACGCGACAGTCACCTCAATAACAGTCTTCTTGCCAAGGGAATTCATACTTCGGAAATGAAGAATAGTCTCAAATCAGGCACAGCACATATTAATAATTTCTCAGGTTAGTTCCAGTACATTCTGGGATGCCATTCATCTGTCCTGATTATTGATACTTCACTGGAAGGTATTACATCTTTATCTAGTCTGCTCACATGTTTACCACATCAGAGTAAACTAAATACATACAAATAAGTTAAGTTTGAAGAATTTGTCATCAATCAACTCAATGAAGTCCTAATCAAGCTAAAAGACCAGAAAGCATATCAAGAGATCTAACCAGAAACTTTCTTCAATTCTATAAATCACAATCAATCATTCTGGAATCTTCTACCAGCTAGTTATTCCCTAGTGGAGAGAAATTATTCCCTATTCACCAGGTTCAGTGGCTGGGTCACAGATCTCCTGCCTACAGCCCGGTACACAAACACAATCACACACATCGACACCAGTTCAGCTATGACCTAATTCAGTTTGATCTTTGAACCTACTGGTCTCCAAATCATCTGTAGAACACGGTCTCAAATCAATAGTGAGTGTATCACTGTTCCGCCCACATATTGTGGGAGGATGAGGATGAGGAGAGGAGGGGAGCTAATTGTGTTGCCTCTCAGCCATTTTCCCTCAGCATTCCGACAGACTGCCTACACACAGATTATGTCATATCTTCGTATCTGATTCACATCAATTCCTATCTCTGAATACTTGATAAGGCAAGGGTTTTCAGACAATAATACGTGAATAAACATGATGTGATGTGAGTTGATCAGGTAAGAGACTGGGAGGCAGAGAGCAATGACGTAAATCCATTTTGCACCTGCTGCAGACTACCATTAGCAGAATCAAAATCTGAAGCAAACATAAAATTTAGCCCTGATATTTACATTAGAACTGGAAAAATGCCAACAGAAGAAGTGGCACACACAAACATCATTAGAGTGTGTATAGCTAATGATGTGAACTACTCATCAATGCAGCGCACACCCACCAAGTCCTCCGTGCCTACATTCCTCAAGCTACCCAATGCAAGTGTTACCAAGTCAACCTGCCCCCATTCTCACATCACACCAACTTTCTGTGTAGACACTCTTGCAGGTCACCATGACCTGACTATATGTATTCAGGCATTGATGAAAGCAACTGTAGCAGCAGCAACAGCAGCAGCAGCAGCAGCAACTCAATGTTTTACCAAACTTGTCTTGTCATTATGTCCTTCAAGATTTTTTCCTTAACTTTGATATTGCATTCTACATTACAAACACTCAATGAACGAAATAGCTGTCCAACATATTCATGGACATCAAAAGCAACAAAGTAGGTAAATGCAGGCCATGAAGTAAACGTTTAGGTAAAAAACTATATAATGAACTAATCCCTCCATAACGGGATAAAAGTTGGTTTCCCAGTCTCTGCATGAAGAAGAGACATGTTAAAAGAGCTTCCTGACATCTGAAATGGAACTCAAAATTCTGAAGCCTATCAGCAAGCCTTTAGTCCTCATTTACATCACACAGGTGGGAATATCAATATTATCCAGCACAAAAACTCTTTAGGTCCATCTACTGATCTACGACGGGGACCTGAAGATTAAAGAATTACATTTTCCCTATCTTAATGAAAGTGTCACATCAAAGATTACCTAACAGCTGCAGTATAAAGTGAACATCACACAACAGAAGAAGAAATCAGCCAACAGCTTCTACAACCACCACAGCCTCTCAACAGGGCTAGGGATCAGTTCTTTATCTTGACCAGACTCAAAATGTTTTCCTATTTGGAAAATGCAACAAACAATGCCATGAGAATTATGTTCTCCCCACAGAGGAGGAGTGGAATGCTTTTATGAAAACACTATTCCCTTCTGTCAGCTAAATATTCATTGAA